CAGGCTTCAGGGCGCTGGTCGTGAGGAGGAGGAGGCCTGGGAGGCAGCGCGCCTGCTGTGCGGGGTGTGTCTGAGGCTCCTTGAGCCCCAACAGCCCGATATTGGGGTCCTCGTGCCTCCCGGACTCCTCTCTGCTCACAGCGTCCCCGCAGCCTGACCCCATTTCACCTCCAGCCTTGGGGACCGGCCTCTCAGGTCCCGCCGCCCAGGTCCCAGCGCTCAGAATGGTGAGTCCCTCGTGGGTGACACATGGCTGATGGGGGAAGAGGGTGAAAGGCTGCAGTGCCGCCTTATAAGGACGTGATGGTGCGACTGAGCAGGGAGGACTCGGGAACCCGGGCCTGTTGTGGGTGTAAAGGCAACAGAGAGATGAAGTGAGGTTTTGCAGGAGGAGTTTTACTTTCACTCTCAGGACGCTGGGGCCATAGATGGTGGTGGAAAAAAGGGAATTTTCTGAGGCAGGATTCTAACTTTTCCTAACATTGCTCAGAGGAAGGACAGACTGGAAGACAGGGGACAGCAGCTGTGGACAGGAAGGGGAAGTCCTGTAAATGATAAGGGAACTGGCAGAGTGAGCACTGAGGACTGAGCCCGGAGATAACACAGGCATCTGGAGGGCACCTGGCCTTTGGGCTGGGCATGAGCAGCCTGAGCCCATAGAGCCTGGTGGGTGCTAGGCTGTCAACAGACATTTTCTTTCCACAAATTCCTACAAATGCAGAATCGATTAGGTGTACGGATTTGTGGAGCTTCTTTCAGGGCCTCACCCCCTTGTGGCCTCTGAGATAGTAGAGTCCTGGGACTGTCAGCCGCTCTTGTAGCCCTTGGACCTGGGGACTTTGGACAGACACTAAGCCCTGACATCTGAGGCCAGGAGTAGGGCTTCATGAGGTGGACCTTGTTTCTGGCAACCAGCGTAATGAGTGCGAGGTCCTCCAGACATAGGGTCCAGAATGTGCAAAGGCAAGCAGTGAAGAGTGAGCTGATTCAGGAACCTGCAGGTATATTTTAAAAAATACATGTATATTTTTATTGATATTAGATGTAGAAAGAAAGGGAGAGGAAGAGAGAGAGGGAAACAGGGATGAGCAAAAAACAAGGATTGGTTGCCAGTTGCACAATCTCTACTGTGAATCTAGCCCACAATCCAGGCATGTGACCTCACCAGTGCATGGGTCTATGCTCAATCAACTGAGACACATAATCCAGGACTGTACATCACTTTAATACAGGGAATCATGGTCAGGTTGGTAGGTCAGAAGGGACAGTGTGAACTTCAGGACTGGCTTTTTCTTTTTTTTTCTGTTCATCAGATTATTTATTCACTTGATTTTTAGATTCACTTGTTGATAGATGTGTATTTGTTGTT